AGGTTGAAATTGCTTGTGAATGTTGGATTTGTGGCCTTTCAAGGCTTTGTAACACCGACATGTTAGCCCTTAATCACGGAGGGAGTGTACAAGAGCGATGTGACTCTAAGATTTTGACGCATTGGGACCAAGAGTCACATAACCTCAACATAGTCATGAGGTCGGTGTGTATATATGAGAGGAACCAAGAGGGTTGGGAGTTATCTCTAGTGAAGGTTGATTATTGTTACTTGGCCTCATGACTGTGTGACTGGCCAAGGCATTGTGTCTGATCGATGATCATATGCGCTCGAGTATTTTATGTGATTTAGCCCTATATGGGTAGGTTCAAAAGGACATGGTTGGAAGCAGTGCGAAAAGATATGGGGGCTTATGGCCTCACTGAGAATATGACCCTTAATAGAGCAGAATGGTGGACTAGGATTCATATAGCCGACCCCAATTAGTTCGAAAAACGCTTTGACGATGATGATCATGAGAAGATTAAGGCTTTGAGAGAACATAAGCTTAAATCCCTAACTTATAGAACCTTCTCATAGCATGTGCATTAATAGTCACAAATGCAAAGTTGTTCTTCCAGAGGATCTACCACGTGTACAAACAGGGGAACCCCCGCACCTTGCATGTGCATGTCATCTGGGGGTGCACGTGTAATCTATTAAGACTTGGGCATTCAGAGCTACTCATTGGTTAACTTTGATAAACTATATCATGAGCCCTGACTAGCGTTGTGGGTCATGAGTTTGTTGAATCATATCGAGAAGGTGATTTTGGATTTTAAGTCAAGCCGAGTGGAGTGCTTCAATTCCTAATTTAGTTCCATAGGATTCTAATTCCACTTGAAAATATTTGTAGCTGGTACCAAAATGATTTATTGTAATGGAGAATGAATAAATGAATTTTTTGGAAGTTTTTGGAGATTTCTGAGCAAGAAAATGGTGTTTTCAAAATTGTTTATGTATCATGACTCTTGATCACAGACCCCCCGGGGCTCGCACTGTACTCTCAAATGGACACCTCCATGTGGCCATGGAGGCCCTCCACATTAGCCGCACATGGAGGTGATGTCCCCCCACCCCCCTATAGTGGACCCCCGCATCATATTGACAATTGTTATATTAAGGGGTGTTTAATATTATTTTTGGTGAAGTTTAAGAAATTGAATATTTGAATTTATGCACATGTTTTTTGTGTGAGATTGTGTTTTGTGCACATGTGTGAGCCCTTTTAGAAGGGGTATAGGATTTGATATTTCAATTGAAACCCTAAGGACAATTGTAAAAGTGCACTCATATGGTACCATATGACTAGCTACACATGCTGTTTCAAAATGGAGGGAAAGTTTTAAATCTGAATTTTGCTGAAAAATGTTTCTAATTACCTCAAAAGGTATGGCCCTAGCTTTAATTTCTATTTTGATTAATTAAAAAGAGCATGAGCATTTTTATAATGAATTATGGAATAAATGGAGGATAAATGTGTTTTAATGCTATCTACACATCAATATGACATGATGGAGGATGTAAGGCTAGGATCTAGCCTCTCTTTGTAACCATGGATGATGTATTTCAATGGCCAAGATTAGCTCATGTAAAGCATCTCTACACTAAACACTATTTATACCCTGTCAATCTCTCATTTTACAATATAACTTAGAGTTCTCTTTCTCTTACAAGAGAGCCACCCCCACTATTCCTATCTTTCTCTCTCTTTCATTTAAAGTTTCTTAGAGAGAGAAACACCTCATGAAAAGAGGCAGGCCATTGAGAGACATGCTACTCTCTCTCTTTTCTCTCATCACCTCCTTGAGAAACTCTTTCTCATAGACTCAACCAAAAAAAAAAAAAAGACTCTTTCTCATAGAGAGTAGCACACCCTCCATTTATTGTTTCTTCTTCTTCTTCATTAGAGAAACATCCTAGTGAGAGAAAGAAAGCAAGAAAGATGCGACGACCATTAAAGCTCTATTAGAGCTTGATCTCAGGCTTTGATGAAACCTTAGCTCTATGGATATTTGATTCTTTGAAGAGATCATTATCTAGCCTTTTCTTGAAGTTTTTTATGGTTGTAAATCCACCTTTAAAGTAAGGTATGATGATTTATTTTCATTTTGATTTATGAGATCTTGAGTTTAGATTGTTGCTTGAGGTTGATGATTTGATTTCTAATTGATTGATCTATGTTTGGAGAGATTTTTTATAGTGTTTTGTTGAGATTTAGTTGGCTGAAGTTCTATGCAATTTTGGATCCAAATCAGCCAATTAGGTCACTCTCGTATTGATTATTTTGGTGAGCTTTTGAAAGGAGAATTATGCCCTAATCTCCGTGCTTATACTATTCCATTACTTATTACCAAAATTGAGAGTGATTTGAGCCTTCTTTTTTCCCACGTTTTTTCCTCATTTTTGGATCCAATTTGTTAAGTGCTCTCATATGTTGTATTGTGCCATAACATGTAGAAGATATGATCATTAATTGCTTCGCAATTTGATGTTGTGAAATTGGCCTATGTGTTATGTTATCATGAAGTCATCCCAAAGTACGTAGCTAAGACCCATGCCATAGATCAGGCAAAAATGAGCTCAATGTATGGCTTCTCATGATCATATCAATCATGCATATGTAATATTTTTATTTGGTGGAGGAGATTCAATTTGAAGTGTATGATGTAATTCCAAAGTTCTGTTTTATTTGGCAATGATTTTGTATGTTGCTGTATTTTTTAGATAAAGTGTATTTTCATGCGTTTAATCAATCCCCTTGGTGTGTCTTGTGTCTTGCACTTAGTCAAGGGACCAATTAGAGTCGTAATTTTCTTTTTAAGTGCATTTGAAGCCAGGTTTGATGGCTGGAATTGTATAAGTTGATGTAAGATTGATGAACTTGAAGCATTGTTGTATTGAATTGAAGAAAAAATTTATGTTATGTCCCTTGGACTTGGTTTTTGTACACTATCAGTGAAGCCCCACTCACTCCAGCAATTGAATATTCCGAAGAGTGTTGTCAAAGGAAATACAAAAGGAAAAATACTAACATCATCTCTCAGCTTGTAGGGACTCCACGATGGGAATCTTCATATAAGCTGGTTTGTTTCATTTTTGAAGGGAAAACAGGCTTCTTAGTGTACTCCAAGCATGCAGACAATCTTCATAACTTTGCTGATAAGCTTTGTTGTTGATTATGGGGATCTTCATCTGTTGTTTTGTGTCATTTTTGATGGGAAAGCGGGAGGAAGGGACAGAGGGGTTCCCAAGAATAATGGAGAGAATAATTGAAAGAGCAACACACAAAATAATGTCCAGGTGAGACTTCTTTAAAACAAATCAAGGGGAGTGAGGGAGGGATGATTTTCATGAATAATGGAAAGAGCAAAACACAAAATAATGTCCAGGTGAGGCTTCTTAAAACAAATCAAGGGCTTTGATTACCTTTGGCGACCTTCAAAAGCCACTTAATGCATTTAGGAGGTAATATAGATCACTTAAATTTGTTTTCTCTATCCAACAGAACATTGTGTCCTGTTGTGATGAACAAAGATGCTTCTTTCTTCTGTACTGTGCGATGCTCCTGCTGTCTTCTATATAGGGATGCTTTGTGTTTTGATTTGGTCGTCCCTTTCACGAAAAAAGGTTGTCTGAATTTTCTTCAGGACCATATTTCTATCTTCTAAATTTTGATGACAAATGGAAAACCAAAAGCATTGCAAGCTTCCTAGGTTCCCACATATTGATAGAATAATTAATTGGTGGTGAGGGAAGCTTAACTTTTTGATCTGGTCCTCTTCTCCTCACTGTGATCACTGTACCATTTTCAAGTCCATTATCTGTACCTTCTAAATTTGCAGTACAAATGGCAAAGCATCTGAAGCTTCCTACGCTCCCAAATGTGATGCAGAATGGAATGGTGATGAGAGAAGTGGAAACCACTGACGACCATTATCAATGTTCTGTTCCATAGAAGTTGGGGATTAACAATCCCTACAAGACTTCAATTTTTGGGTGTAGCCAACTGTCTAATCTTTAGTTATCAAGTTTTGGCTCAGCAGGTCTCTGATAATTGGGAGCACAAACTGCAAAAGACTCTTGCACTTCCCAAATAAAAAATTAACATATCTAGATGAATTCTGCCTTTAGCTAGTCAGATCAAAGTCGGAAAACTCATACTATGGGAGATGGAACTCAAGGATATCACAACCCCAGCCTGTTGATGTACTTAGTTGTGACACAATGAGATGTCATTGCAGACTTTGCAAATTGGCTTATCACATAGACTTCTTGTGCCATTTTTGGGCATTGTAACTGTCACTTATAAGAGCCCACCAACCAAACACAAGTAACTAATCTTCTCAAAAGCAAGATTGCCATCAGTTCATGAGTTCATTTTGTATAGCAGTTTCTCGAAGACTGTTTTTATCACTAAGACGTGCTTGAGAAATCAGTCCTTGGGTAATTGTTCTTCTGCTGTGAGGATGCCTATAATTCATGCTAAAGGCTGCATATGAAATATTGCAAAATCTATTGACTATATGAGCAAGATTTCAAACTCTTGATATCAATTTTTTGAGGACTCAGGAATTTAATTTTATAGCTAATATCTTAATGAGGCTTCCAAGTTCTAGAGACAATTTATGTACTATGTTGATGAGAATATATTTCTTTCATGATCAAGCATATGATTTGTATTACCTTCCCTTGTCACAAAGGAATAAGATTGTTCTAGCAAGAGAAAAAAAATGATCTCGAATTATAGCATTCCAAAAACCTAGATCGACACATGTTGTATCGCTAAATTCCAAAAGAAAGAAGTATTCACTGTTTCTTGTAATGCATTTTTGCCATGTAGATTACACATAAAATTCATGTTATTTATGTTGAATTCTTGAATTGAGTGAGAGACTCTGCAGATTCTTCTAGAGCAAATTGATTCTAGTTCTCCTCGCATGAAAAGTAGGGATATTATTGTATCTATGCAGTTCTAATTATAAGGTTGCTCACCATCAGGTCGCATATAAAAAAATGATGGGTTTAAGACCTAGCTTGGATGACCTGAAAGATTTTCGTCCTGACATTGCAAAGGGTCTGCAACTTCTTTTGGAGTTCTCTTCTGATGTAGCTGAGACCTTTTATTTGTTTTTCCAGGTACTTCGGAGAATTACTTTTTCATGGGATTGGTTATGTTTTCAGAATCATAACAACAATAGCCTTCTTTTTCAGATTACTTACGACTACTTTGGGGAGCTACATACGCATGATCTTATACCTAATGGATGTGATACACCAGTAACAAATCAAAATAGACAAAGGTATCTGCACATTTTATAATGTTAAATCCTTACGCTTCTATCGTTCTCGTTTCTTACGTTCAACTTCTAATATTATATNTAAGTCGTGGGTAGGGCGAACGGAGACCGACAGGGAACGGTGA